TAAGAGAGATTATGAAGAGAAAAATTGTCTAACAAGTTTAGCATTATATTTCTTAGTTATGCACCAAATTTCTTAGTTGCAGACTTAGCATACTTAATGCCAACTGAAAATGTTAGACCGAAAATCAGAAAATCTTGAATCAATGCATGAATCAAACAAATATAAAACTTTGGAACATTTGAAGAATTCAAAATGGAACAATTTCATAGAAGCTCTAGTGACCAGCAGTAAATTATATCCCCCCCCATTCCGTTCCTCACATGAAAGACAGTGGATACAAGGTGGAATTCCTGATCGAATGAAACAGATAATGCCAAGTTATGCACCATAATATATGAAATTAATGAAAATAGCGGAAATAAATGCAAGAAATAAGAATATTTTATTGAGAAATGTGCATGGGTCAGAAATCTGTAGAACACATACGTAGCAGGCATGCACTGACAGATTAAAAAAAAAAGTGGGACAGAAAACATGCACTACAGGGGGAAACGAGAAATCTGAAGAAAGAAAATCTTAATGGAAAAGGAAACGGCACGTCAGAAATGGAAGGAATATATCAGAAAACTATTTCATGATTACAAAGAGAAACAAAAAAAATCAAAGGTCAGATCACCATTGGATACAAATGAAAAGAACAATTCAACATCCTTTTTACACTAATGTGACTGGTCCTGTTTACTTGAACTTGCTGCAACAGTGAAGCGTTAGAGAGGACTTTGATGATAAGGAGTCTTATTTCCAGCAAGATGGCGCACCCACACTACCATCACGATATTAGATAAGGTTGTAATAAAGATGCTGACGGTCTAAGACGACTTGCCAATTGATAAAGAGTGATAAATGAAAATACGATAGTGGAGAAATACCAGAAGACCTCCGTAGACATTTACTCATAGCTCTGCCAAAGAATCCAGTTTAAAATGAATACGAACTTCATCGGAAAATAAACTTGATGATCCACAAAACGTAACGATAAAAAATGCTTCTGAATAGGGCTCATAGTAGAATTAGTAAGAACTATGTAGTTTTCTTCAAAACACGAAACAAGAAATCTGATTGCTATGATCAGAATGCGGCCAGAACCAGCAACAGATTTGCAGTGAAATTTATAATTATGTTTCATAGATTACATGATGACATTTGATAAAATCTCATATTTAGAAAAGCTTGATCTACACAGAAAGGATATTAGAATAACCAATAACTTTCATTAGAAATAAGCATCCCCATAGAGGATGAGGTTATTGAAGACACAAAAATAGTCGAATAAGAATGTCAAGTATGTGTTTACTCAGCGAATTTATTTAGCCTCCAGAAAAGTGATTAGTTGCTCTTTCTGAGGCTAACGTTTTCAGCTGATATGAAGTGGAAAGACTATATTAAATAGGTCAGCTTTAAAGAAAGTTGGTTCACTGTATTGTGCGAGACAGTTTTTCACTCCAGAATCTATCTTAGATATCTATAAGTCTACCATTCGCCCACGCTTAGAATATTTCTACCACTTATGGCCCAGTGCCCTCCTATTTAGCTTGAGCTCATTGATAAGATCCAAAGAAGAATCAGCAAAATTACTGATCATGATCTGACGGTTCAGCACCAACACTTTCCCACCGCCATAAGGTTGCCTCCCTGTGTCTTTTCTATAAATACTTTCATGGTAATTATACGGATGAGCACTTCGCTATGGTACGTAGACTCTTTGAGTTTAAGCGCATTACTAGACTGGCGTCGAGATCTCAACAATTTACACTTGTAGCCGTTAATTCTATGCTAACGGTTTTTTTTCTCGTATTTCTCGCTTGTGGAACTCCTTTCCGTCTCAATGCTTTCCAGCCAACTTTAATCTGAAAAAAATTAAATGCAATGTTAATCGCTATCTACTGTCTTCCTGATTACTCTTTCATCTTCCCGCTCATTATTAATGTTTCTGTTCTTAATTTTTTCCACATCCTGTAACCTCTTGTGTCTTAGCGACTTTAATGCCTTGCATAGGGTGATACCGATTAAAAATATCTTGAAACGATTCTAAGAGGCCTAAGAGATGGACTATGATTTAATATCGGTGCAAATAACTTTAACGAAATTCACTAAACAGATAAAACTGTCCTGATGGCAGATTTAGAAAAAAAAACTGAAAGTACAATTATCCAGTTTAATCTATTACAGCAAAAAAATAAAAGTAGCAATTAATTTTAAGACAGAAATAAGTTTAAGACAGTTATGTATTTGAATTGTCAACATGAGGTGCAGAAATTTAAATTTATATTTGCTCGTCTAAAACGACCTTGAAACCCCCCAAAACAAACTTTAAAAATTGGGGAGCATCTTATAGTTTAGTTCTAAAAAAGAAAAAAAGCCTTAAATTCTGAGTGATGTTTATCGCTAGGCTAACCTCGATTTCGATGCGATGACCAATAGCCTACATTAAAAGATTCAGATTATCAAATAAACTAATAAATGTAGTGAAACCATTTCTACCTAATATTTTACTGCTATAATTTCATAATAAATTGCCTATTTGAAGAATAATTCCATATCAATGACATTCCCTTGTATCCATGCAAGCTCAACTGAGAAAATATAAACAATTATGATTCATGATTGCGTTCACAGCAACGGAATTTTACTATTATCGTTACTGTTATGAGCGGCATTTTGTGATTGCCGATGAAGCATGAGTTAATGGGCATTAGTACACTAATTTGTACTTGTTTAGATATGTTACTATTTTTAATTGTTTAGATATGGGAAAGAAGAAGAAGAAGAAGAAGAAGAAGAAGAAGAGGAAGTAGAGAAAGAGGAAGAAGAGGAAGAAGAAGATGAAGTGAAAGAAGAGGAGGAGAAGAGGAAGAAAAAGAAGAGGAAGAGGAAGAAGAAGAGGAAGAGGAAGAAGAAGAGGAAGAAGATGATGAAGAAGAGGAAGAGGAACAAGAGGAAGAATCAGAGGAGGAAGAAGAAGATGAAGTGAAGAAGAAGAAGAAAAAGAGGAACAAGAGGACGAAGTGGAAGAGGAAGAAGAGGAAGAAGAAGAGAAAGAGGAAAAAGAGGAAGAAGAAGATGATGAGGAGGAAGAAGAGGAAGAGGAAGAAGAGGAAGAAGAAGAAGTAAAAGAAGAAGAAAAAGAAGAAGAGGAAGAAGAAAAAAGAAGAGGAGGACGAGGAGGGGAGGAGGAGGAGGAAGAAGAAGAAGAAGAAGAAGAAGAAGAAGAAGAAGAAGAAGAAGAAGAAGAAGAAGAATCATTATTCGCAAGAGATCACGTGATGAAACGTAAACAAAACAATGGTTTCCCTTTTAGCGGGCGTGTGTAGGAAAAAACATGATATAGAATCGGTTTTGTTATTTAGTTTATTTTGTGTTTCTCGTCTTATACTACAGGTACAACATAAATTCATGAAAATCTGCCATATTTTTTGACTTCATTTTATCTAAAGTTCGCCTTATACGTGGAAATATACAGTACTTTCGTAACGGATTATGGAAAACTTGACAGGAATCTTTGAATGCTTGGTGAAATGAACACTCACATTAAAGTCAAGAGGTGCCAGAGAAAACAGCGAGTAAATTCCTTAATGAGCTTGATTAAAGGAATAAGAGGACAAAATCATCAAGGGCGAAAAGTGATGGTAAAACTGAAGGGGTTACTTAAAGCAACAACACTTCGCAGATATCTCTCTCTCGAGTAAGACCCCCCCCCATAGACGAGAACATGACTAAAGACTGTGGATGCTAACCCGTGCAGTTGCGGAAGGAAGTTTAAAAGTGAGACAGGCCGCCCCGTTATGGTAAGGCTTGAAGAACACCAGAAAGCTGTAACACGAGGGGAAGTGGAAAAATCGGGCGTTGCTGACCACATATGGAGAGACAAGGGAGATCACCACCCTCTGTGGGATCAGGTTGAGATCATAGACAAGGAACACTATTGGAAAATTCGTAAACTTAAGGAATCAGCACATATGCTAGGCCACAAAAATCTCCTGAGCTAACCAAGCATAGAAATGAATACAATATGGGAACCAGTAATAAGGAGTGTCAGAGAAAAGCAATAATAACAAAAAATTGCAATATTAGCTCTGGTAAAAACATGGAATGATAACAGCAAAAATTGCAATATGAGCACTTGTAAAAATGGTTGCTGAAGTCATTAGGTTTATAATACCAAGAAGTTCATACTCAAGGAAACATGGCACAGTGGATAAATGCGTTGGTTAGATCCAGTGACAGGACCCAAAGTGTGTGAGTTCAATACCCGGTTAAGGCAGTGGAGAACTTTCAGAGGGAAATAAACAGGAGATAACTGACATCCATTTTATATGGCACGTGGGACTAGAACAGTCTATCCCAGTGAGCGAAATAAAGGGTTCAGTTCGACATTCCAACCACTTGAAGAAGGCCGAAGCGACAAAGATGAGGACAATAGTCCAAATAATGGAGAGAAAGTTCTGTGGAACCACGATCGCCTTCTTTTTAAAAGGTCATAGTTCATAAAAGATGTTCTAAAAATTGACGAAATATTGCGTGCCTTGCCTTAGATTCTTAGATGGGGAAGAGATCTTCAGATTTAATGATATTTCTTGAAATATCAAAGGAATGGTAAGGTTTCTATATCCGGGACACATCTTGAAAGCCATGGATATTTTTCAACATATCGAAAGAAGAATCAATGGGAGAAGACATCACGAAAGCCATAAATCCAAAGAATGCTAGACTATGCGTTGCAATTAGGAATTAAAAGAAAATGTCATTGAAAAGAAAGATTCTAAGAATGATCAGGTAAATGTCATGCAAATGGAAGAGTTTTATTTTTCTGCCTGTGTCTAATCAATCAACACAGGTAAAAATATCACGAGAGACGATTTGCTCTTTGTATGACCTTTGATCACTTCTTGATGGGTTTTTACACGTCATCTCTGTCATGAATTTCACTCATTGATATTGGAAGATAATGCGCAGTTTCAGAGAGATTATTGAGCGGAAAGAAAAATGATAAACTCCAAAATTCAATAGTTGGTGGGGGGAGATAAAAGAAGGAAAAGAAGAAAAAGAAAGAAAGAAAGAAAGAAAAAAAGACGAAGAAGAAGAAGAAGAAGAAGAAGAAGAAGAAAGGAAGAAAATAGTGAAGTTATAAATATCAGAAAAAAAATGAAAAAATACGCATAAAATTTCAAGTAAAAAAAAAACAAATGGATAGAAAATAAGTAAAGATTCATGTTGTGGGAGGAACAGAGAAAATACTGTAAAAAGAATACGATTAAGTGAAATAATATAGGAGGAGGAGGAGGATAATTAAGAGTTGTAAGCGAGGGAGGTGCAGTGGTATGAGGAGAAGAAATAGAAACACAAAGGAATGAATGTTGTGACAAGGGAAGAGGAGGAGGGGGACGAAGAGGAGGAGGAGGAGGACGAGGAGGAGGAGGAGGTGTAGACGGAAAGATTGAAACAAAGAACAGCGGCAGGAATAGGAAAAAGGGAAGAAGAAAGTGAAAGGCAATTAAAAAGAAAAAAGAATCGCCAAAGCAAATTACGAAATAAATAGACAAGAATAAAACAGAAGTCGAATGGAAAATGAATAATAAGAAAAAAAAGAGAGATAGAATGAAGATAAAAGAGAGAAAGAAAAAGAAAGTAAAGGTAGGAAGGAGAATAAAAAAGAAAGAAGAAACGAAAGAAAAGAGGACAAAACAAAGCATATAAGGAAAGGTGGATAAAAGAAAAGAGAAAGACGTAAGAAAAGAAAGAGTAGAAGGAAAGAAGGAAGAAAGAAGAAGAACTGTAAGAAAACAGGAAGAAAGAAAACGTAATCTGGATGAGAGGGATTTACAAAAGTTTATCGAGGCTTTAAAAACATACATTTTAAAAAATACAAAACATATTTAAAGAAATGGGGGTGAAAGATTAAGAATAAGAAAAGAAAAATATTAAAAGTTAGAGATCGAAACAAATATCAATAAGCATATACCAATAAGCATATACCAATGAACACATAACAATAAAACAATAGCAAATAACACTAATATAACCAATTCTAGCTCCTAGCTCTTCAGAGCTTGACAAGAAACCTTATAAATATAAAAGAAGAAAAATAAAGAAGAAGAAACTGAAGAATAAAAAAAAACCTAAAAGAAAGCGGCAAAAATTAATAAAAAGAGAGAAAATTGTAAGAAAAGGAATAAAGCAAGAAATGACGAATCAAAAAAAAAAAAAAAAAGAAATGAAAAAGCAAAGCAGAAAAGCAAAAAATATGTATGGAAAACAAAAACCGAAAATATAACGCGTCTGATTCCCATTCAGATAAAAATTATTAGATAACGTTACTTACTTGATCAGGGAGAATGTGATGGCATTTTGCCTGTCTTCTTCATGTCTTCACAAATTCTATTGTTTTTCGGGGTTTGAACAGCAGGAAATTACACCAGTGGGCAAAACAAGAGTCCTGTGACGATCAAAACTTACAGATTAAAATTCCAAATGCGTTGCTTTTCAATCATTCAATTATTTCATTTATATAAATTATAAAAGAAGAAAAAAAGCAGAAGAAAGAAAGAAAGAAAGAAAGAAAGAAAGAAAGCGGGCTGGAAACGAAAGAGAGAAATGAAAAAATATGACTAAGGGAAAAAGAAAGGTATATAGAGAGAAGACGCAGAAGAAAGAAAGAAAGAAAGAAAGAAAGTAAGAAAGAAAAAAGAAGAAAAGAATGGAAGAAAGAAACGAAGCAATAAAAGCCAATAAAGCGAAAAAAGAAAAAAAGAAAAGAATAATAAATTAAAACAGAAAACTAAATAAGGAAAGTGGAATGGAAAAAAAAGGAAGAAGAAAGGAATGCGGGAAAAGAGAGAAAGAAAGAAAGAATTTGAATAGAATAATTCGAAGAGGTAAGAAAGAAAGAAAGAAAGAAAAAGAAAGAAGGGATATGAGCAGAAGTAAAGAAAAAAGAAAATGATTAAAAAGAAAAGGATGACGGAAAAAGAAAGAAAGGTGCAACGAGAATGTAAAAAAAAAGAAAAGATAATTTCAAAATGGTGAATAATTGCGAAAGATACTGAAAGAAAAAAAACAGTAAAAAATGCAAGAAAACCGGATGAATACAGAAAATAAAGAAAGAAAGAAAGAGGTGAATGAAAGTGCAAGAAAAACAAAAAGAAAGGAAAAAAGATACAGAAATAGAAAACAAAGAAAAGGAGAAAAATGAAGGAAAATGAATAAAAAAGAAGAAAAAACTAGAGGCAGGTGGAAAAACAAAAGAAAAATAAAGACAAGCATAACACAACTTGGAAGGGGAGAAAGAGAAAGGAAATCAGAAAAAAAAGAAAACGAAAGAGAAACATGGGAAAAGCATAATTCCTATAAAACGATATAGAAGGGATTGATAAACGGAACAAGCCAGAAAAAGATGCAAAGAAAACAGAAATAAAAGAAGAATGGAAAACGATGAAAAAGAAATTTGATAGAAAACGAACATCTTTTGCTTTTATTCAAATTTCCTCATTTGATTGTCAAGTCGAGGCGGACAGTGAGATTAAAGAATTGACAAGAAAATACACAAAATAAACATTTTGAACTCAGCTTCTGTCATTTTGTATTTATGTGACAATTGTTACATTTCGGCGTTATTCATCACCATGTTGCTGTCAAATATTGTCATCCTCTAGTGTTTCAAGAAGTCCTTCATAGGAACTGCAGGGCGACGTAATCTTTGCGAGGTGTGATGGATAAAACACACACAAACATTTTAAGCGACTTTCAAAAAAAAAAAAATCTTCCTGTTGAAAGATACTGAAGCGAAACACCTTTATTTATTTGTTGCTTTAGACAAATAAAGTGTGATACAAGGTCACCTCTTTACACAATTCTTAGTCATTGATAGCTTTTTTTTCTCGGCATATATATCTTTTTAGAGAATCTTAGCGTGCTTTGTCGAGGGACAGATCCCCTCTCGTGGGCGTAGATTAATTTTGGCTATTCAGTTCTGTGCTGAACTGCTATGTAATATCATTCATTCTTTATAAATGCTGGGTAATTTTGTCACAGATGAAGAGGAAACTTGAGGCAACAGAGATGTGATTGTACAGAAAGATGTTAGAGAATATTTTAGATAGGAGCATGTGACGAGAAAGTTTTAAGGAAAATGGGAACACTTAAAATCAGAAACAAACAGTTGAAATTTCTGGAACGCAAAAAAGAAGTTTTGGAGAATTTGACACTGACAGGACATAATGAAAGCAAGGAGAGAAACATAGAGTAACCTAATCAACAAGCTTTGTAAATGCAAGGGAGATCGGGCAATGTGATAGACAGTAAAGAAATGCCAAGAACTATAAAAGGATAGAAAGTTGTGTAAAACAGAATATCGAATCAGAATGGTTTCATATTTAATTGTTTTTTGTTTTTTTTTTACAAATACGATATTTTTAATTGATGCTTTATTTTTAAATAATTTGTTGACGTTTCAGAAAATTTATTTTCATCCCACTAGTTTTTACGATATTTTTAGGAAAACAGAAGAGATATTCCAGGAATTTTATTATGAATCCTCTCGGGTAAAACAGATATTCTTTGTGGATATGTCAGGTTTCCAGTGCCTCAAGATATTCATTTTAATGCAATATCGAAATAACGTGGGGAGGATAGATCCTCGATTCCAAAACAACAATTATTAATTCTTTCCTCTCTTCCTTCCTTAGATGACATGCCTGATGCATGCTTGGGCGAGCATGTCTTTTTTCCATTCATGCCTGACCTAGCAGAGGAATTCCCGCAGTAGACTGCCATTACTTTCTGTGGTAGACTGGTTGCCAACCAAGGCTATAGGACTCAAATTTGTCCATGGCCTGTCCAAAACAAAAGGAAGTAAACATTGTTTTATACCCGTATGAAGAATTCCAATTGGAACATCATGGAGTTGAATTTATGAGGAATACAACACAGGCATTGGAGACAATTACGTTAACGAGAGAAATGTGCGAAATTTATTTTTTAAAAATTCTTAAGCGATTTTCAGTAATAAAAAGGAAACGATAGAATTCATGCAAATGATAGATCCTGAATAAATCAGAAAATTGTGATATAAAAACGTTTGTCCTATAAGAGTTAATTTCTAGACTGGAACTATTTCAAATCATCTGAATGTGAGTGGAATGAAAAAATGTTTATTTAAATGGAATAAAGAATAAAAAAGCCCAAATCCGCCTACACTGGATGATAATATATAAGTTCGGAATTTTATTTCTGAGAGGAAAGAATATTTGCAGATCAAGATCAAACAGAAGAAAGCAACGCTTCTTCAAAAGAATAAAATTCTTTAGAAAGGAAATTCAAAACTCACAAGTGGAATGGTTCAAGGAAAAACATTTGACGGAATAATGATTATTTTTCTTCACACATCAACACCCACGTGACAACACACACACATACACTCAGTATCATATGCACCTCCACACATTTAGTGGTGGTGGGGGAAACAAATATTCATACACATACAAATTTTTAATTTATTGTATTTCCAACTAATGAATAAACATAATTTTCCTATAATTGAGTGTACACAAATATATAATAACTAAATATGCATAGAAAACAGAAAAAGAATTGATTTAATAGAAATAAATCCCATTTACCCATTTGAATGACCTAACTTAGTACTGACCTTTTACCTTATGTTTCAGTTAAACTTTGAAATTTGACAATGTTTTTTCTTAGATTTTAGTTGAACTGTGTTTCACGATATGTATTTTATCTTTCTATTTATAGGATTAATTTGGGTTTAATCTAATTCTGTACTAATCTCTTAGTAATATTATTGACATCTTATACGGATGTATTGGAATTTAGTTAGTATTTTTGACATTTTACACTGATTGGTTGATATTATTAGCATCTTATATGGATGATATTAATTTAACGTTTGCTTATAATTTACCAAATAATTCTATATGTTTACATTATTTACTAGTCTCTTAAAGAGGCCTCTTATCAACTACAAAAAATATGCAGGAAACGCTTATAACTAGTTGGGCATTAAGTCAAATTACCTCTCTAATCCCCCGCTTTTTTTCTCATGAAAGTTGACTGTTTGGGATGTGTACATTTATTGTAACCATTTGTATCAGTCTTTAAGTTAATATCAGACTGCTGCTAGATGTCAAATCTTGGCCATGATACATTTCTAAGATAATAATTTCTATGTTTTTTTTCGCTTAGTTTGGATTTAACGTAGGTCATATTCGATTGGTTGATCAAGGTAAAGCCGTCAAGCCTTATATATTTTTTCAAAAAATGAGGATGTATTTTGCTTTTGAAACGAAATTAATCGTTCAATCGCCAGTAATTTACAGTCGCCTGAAGAGTCGCATCGTTATGCGTTGAAACACGACTGCAATTGTGTAAGGATTTTTACAAGTTTTTTTAATATTCTAAAATAAAAAATATAATATATATATATATATATATATATATATATATATATATATATCTGTGTGTGTGTGTGCGCGCACGTATATACTGGGTGTAATAGCAAAATTGTCCTAATCATGTAAAAGCAAAATTGTCCATTTTTTAGATTAAGCTTTGAACTAGAAATGATTAAATATATCTGACTGGAATTCTCCGAGGTTTTTATAACACTATTGAACACTACTTTGAGCAATAATAATGTATGATTACTCTCCAAGCTTAACAGAAGAATAGTGATGAAATCCATCATAAATGAAAATGTCATGTTCATCATTAATTAATCATAGCTAAGGACCAGGAGGATCATGAAGAATTGAAATTAAATTCATATATACATATGTTATTGCAGAATAATTTTCCAATTTATTCAAGATGATTTTCGCCCTCTCTAACCATCTAACTTTCTGTCCTGCAGTAACAAGTTTCACGTACGATTTCATTTTCAAGTCTTTTTTTCACTGCTCTTTGAACTGTCATAGATGAAATTCCTCGCTCACAAACGTCTTATGGATTGAATTTGGTCTTTTCTAATTGATCCCTTTAGCTCTAAGTTGAATTGATGTCCCCTCTACCTGTTGTGACCTCTTGTTCTAGCTTTCCTTTTTACTTTTCAATCTTTTTTTTAAAACTTATTGACCATTCACTTAATGGTTCTTGAATCGACTTTGAAGATGGAAGCCAGGGTAAAAATGTTGGTACCATTACTGAAGGCCCAAATTATCTTTTTGCTTTTACTATTGCTCATTTAAGAAGAGAGTGGAGATGACACAAAACGATTTTAACGTGTTCTCTTTCTAGTTGAATAACGCAAAGGTTTTTTCCGTGTTTCTTACGACAAATCGTATCAAGATAGCTAAACGACTTATCTGAAAACCTGGAAAAAAGAAACTCAATTAGTTTAGTAGTTTTTTTTAAGCATTAAACATTTTGTGGGATAGACAATTATACTGTTGCACGATTTGGAAAATTTTGCAGTTACACCCGATATATATATATATATATATATATATATATATATATATATATATATATATATATATATATATATATAAACTTAGTGAGCCAGACAAACCTACCCAGGTTTCACCTAAGCGGATCGTCAGGGAAAGCTGGCTAAAGAGGCAAAAGAGAAACGCATATTTATAGGCGATAGTCAAAATTATACCACGTGACCACCGGGGGGGTGGTTAAAGATTTATTCAACTAAAAAGGGAGGGGAAATTAAAATACGAACATTGAGGTGGAATGACAAAATAAACGGGAAAATTCGTCTTAATTTAGTAACCAAGATTTTTTATGCCTACATATGTTAAGAATTTCGGATTTGGAGTTTAATAGCTGATTAGGTTGGTTATATAAAGCTGTGACCTGCACAAAAACGTTGATACGTAAGCTTTTATTTTACTTTTAATTTCAACCTAATATATTAAATTCATTATTTCAAATAATTAAAATACTTTGTTTTATTTCAAAAAAACTAATTTAAACTGATTGGAAGGATTTAATTATATTTTGTTAAAATAGAGGATTATTGCCCATTTTTAGTTGTCTTTCATCGCAATGTAATTCTCTTTGTTAAAAGATCTTCCAACAATAAAATATACTTTTATGAAACGTTATTTGCGGACTGTTAGCGGATTTAAAGTATAGTAAATCTTATTTTAAACAAATATTATTTACTTTAAGTATACAATAACGTAGAAATGAATTTTAGCCCGCCAGTAGCTGTATTTTTAACACGACAGTATTGACAGCCTGATGACAGATTTAATGTTTTTTTCTACGGAGACTTTATTTGTAAAACATAATTGAAGAAACTGACGTTAGCGCCTTTCTTTTATATAAGTTCTAAGTACTCAGTAATCATAAAAATTTTGGAAAATATTCTCCGTAATCTAATATTTTACTGAATTATAGAAATATTCGCTTTAAATTTATTATAGTTATCGCTTTTATTTTCTAATTATGTCGTGTATGGTCCTTCATACTTACAAAAATACACATGCAAAA